TGTTACCTGGAACTGTGAGTGAAATAAACTCATTCCTCCCCAAGTTACTTTGGTCATGGTGTTTCATCACAGCAATAGTAACCCTGACGAAGACAGCATTTAATTAGGGGCTTGCTTACAGTTTCAGAGGGTGGCTCTGAGACCATTATGTCCAGGAGCATGTGGCAGGCAGGCAGGGTGCTGGAGCAGTACCTAAGCGCTTTTATCCCAATCCACAAGTTGGAGGCAGAGAATGCCAGAGACTGGGCCTGGCTTGGACTTTTGAACCCCAATGGGACAGCTCCTCCAACAAGATCATACTTTCCAATACTTCCCAAAACAGTCCCACCAAGTAGGGACTAGGGAGCAAACATCCAAATACATGAGTCTATGAGGTCGTTCAAACCACCATAACCTCTTTCAGTAACACAGAGCTTTCTTGTTTTGGTTTGGTTTTGGTTTTGGTTTCAAGACAGGGTCTCTCTCTGTAACAGCCCTGGCTGTCCTGGAACTCGATTTGTAGGCCAGGCTAGCCTCACTCACAGAGATCTGCCTGCCTCTGCCTCCTGAATGCTGGAGTTTAAAGCACGTGCCGCCACTGCCTGGCCAATGATACAGCTTTTTAAAGCTGCTTTTAGATTTCTTTCTCTGTCTCTGTCTCTGTCTCTCTCTGTCTCTCTCTGTCTCTGTCTCTGTCTCTCTCTCTCTCTCTCTCTCTCTCTCTCTCTCTCTCCTCTTTGTGTGTGTGTGCGCACGCTTGCATCCCCACGTGTCCATATGCATATGCATGTGTACCATATGTGGTCAGAGGGCAACCTTTGGGCGTTGGCTCTCTCCTTCCACTGTATGGGTTACAGAGGTCAAACTCAGGTCATCAGGCCTGGTGGCAAGCACCTTTACTCACCGAACCATCTTACCAGCTTAGAAAAGACTTGGGTTTTGTTTTGTTTTTATTTTGTTTGTTTGTTTGAGCCAGGGTTTCTCAATCTAACAACCCTGGCTGTCTTGGAATTCACTCACAGAGATCCACCTGCCTCTGTCTCTCAGTGCTGGGATTAAAGGCGTGTGTCACCATGCCTGGCTAAGATTTTTATTTTAACAAGTGTTTATTATGTCCTTGTCTTCTGCCTCAATCTCATTATCCTCCTGCTTCTGTTTCCTATGTGCTGGGATTATAGGTATGCGCCACTATGTTCTATTTCGTTTTGTGTAAGTCATGGCCCTTATATAATCTAGCAAGATTTTGTCAGAAAAACCAAATTGAGAAAGTGCACACTATCAATAAGTAATTCTTTCTCTGTTTAAATTCTCCCAGGTCTGAAACAACACAAATAAGTATTTTCTTTGCCAGGAATGGTATCACACACCTGCAATCCCAACAATAAGGAGGCAGAGGTAGGAGTATTTGTTCAAATCCATTCTTGGATCCATACTAAATTCAGGGCCACCATGGGTTGCGTGAGACCTGGTCCAAAAAAAATTTAAATAAATAAATAAAAAGAAGTAGTTTTATTTCCTTTATCCTGTGAACATGACACATGCACGTGTACACACACACATACATACACACACACACACACACACACACACACACACACATCTACATACACACCTTTCACTGCAGTAAGCATCTTTGTTCACATACTTATATTGTATAATGTACATGTGTTAGTAGACTAAATCCCTAGGAAGAAAAATTCATGAACTTCTAAAGATGTGTTGGCAATGACATTTCCATTGTAGAATATTATTTTAATGAGGCAAAGATATGTTACATTGGTTTATGCTGCAGAATATTACTTTAACTATGTGAAGATGTGTTACTTTTGCTTATATTACATTTGTTTAATTATGTAAAGATGTGTTGCATTTGTTTCACCTTGCTTGCCTAAGGCATCTGATTGGTCTAATAAAGAGCTGATCGGCCAATAGCTGGGCAGAGAAAGGATAGGCGGGGCTGCCAGGCAGAGAGAATAAAGAGAAGGAGAAGTCTAGGCTTGAAAAGGAGAAGAGAAGGAAGAGGAGAGAAAGAGGAGAGAACAAGGGAGACACCAGAGGCAAGAAACAAGGCCGATGCCAGCCAGCCATAGAGAAGCAGTGAAAGTAAGATATACGGAAGTCAGAGAGGTAATAAGTAAGCCCCAACGCAAAAGGGAGATAAATAGAAACGTGAGAGAGACCAGCTCCTTCTTTACCCCCCACCAGGGTACTCTTGAGCAGGGAGGAACGAGAAGTATGTAGATAGACATATAGAGGAGAGAGACAGTTAGAAACACAGGATAACTCGGGAGGGCCTGGGTCAAAGGAATGCCAAGGGGTGGAGCAAAAGACGCCCCCCCCCCCCCCCCCCCCCCCCCCCCCCCCCCCCGAGCACAGCCAAGTGCAGACCATCCCAAATACCTGGTAACCATGCATGTGGTCAGCCATCCCCTAATGCAGCCCTGCTGTGGAAAGCAAGCTCAGATCTCACTCGGAAGCTTTTGTGGGCTTTCACAGAAACAGGTTAAATTATAAGAGCTAGCCAGAAAAGTGCCTTAGCTAGGATGCGCATTCAAAACTAGTAATAAGTCTCCGTGTGATTTGGGAGCTGGTTGGTGTCCTAAAAGAGAAAGCATTTCAGGCACTGTTTTGAAAGATGTGCTTACTTGGCCTATGCTTTTGAGACTGAGAAACTTAGATTTTGGTTGTTTGACACTTTTGAGGCCCTCCTTAGCAACGTGTAAAATTCCCTGTAAATTATAGGGTTGGTTTGTTTCTTTCTTTTTCTGAGACAGTCTTAACTGTGTAACCCAGGCTATCTTTAGACATACAGTTCTCCTTCTGCCGACTAAGTGTTTAGATTAGTCTCTGATGGCATGTCCAGTTCTCTGATTCATTTTAATTGATACTTGAAAGCAAAGATTATTATTTTATCAGAATTATGTAATTAATAAAGTGGGTAAATGTCCTAAACACTTGGATACTGAAGTTCTGTTTGGTTCAAGTGTGTGGGTCTCTGCTGAAGACTTTTTCAAGCATTGCAATATCTGCCCTTCATTTTTTTTTCTGTGTTATTATAAGTTATAAAGATAGGGGCCAACAACTATAGATTAAAACCTGGAAAAGTAACTTATTGCATGAACTGCCCAGAGTATCTTCTACTCTGTCCTTCTTGCCAACGATACCAAGATCACTAATTTGCTTAGTTCATAAGCACTTATCCAATAAATGTTCACCAAGAAATTAGCATGTATTATTCATCCAATTATGACCACAGCTTTCTGATATAAGGGCTATTAAAATTCTTATTTGATCTGTATGTGAGACTATGTCAGTAGTAATATTCCTAGAGAAAGATGAGGTTGGAATTTGAACCACTGCATCTGACTTCTTAGAGCAGTTAAAGAACATTGCCCTCCACATCAGATACTGTTTGTGGAACATCACAGCTGCACGCTCAGGAGGAATGTTTTCAATCAACACTGACTGCATTGTTATTACTTTGCATATTGGAAGTGACCAATCGTATCTGATAATAACTACAGTGAGAATTATTTTCAGTCTTTCCCAGAATGACTTTGAAGGAAAACAAAACAAAACAACAAAATAAGAAACAAATGAGAAGAACAGAGTTCCCAGTGAGTAGAAGGAACAGGTCTGTGGAAGTGCAGATGTATAGTTTTGTGCATAGTTATATCTTGGACCTGTGTGATGGTTAGTGTTAACTGGATCTGGAATCACCTAGGAAACAGGCCTCACAGGCAGGTTGTGGGAGGTTATCTAGGTTTGATATGATTGTTGTCGGAAGATCCATCCTAATTGTGGGCAGAGCCGTCCCCTAGGCAAGAGATCCATGATATATAGAACAGAGAAAGCAAGCTGCGCAGCAGCATGCATTCCTTGTTCTACTTTCTGATTGTGGGTGTGATAGCCCCAGCATTTTCAGCCCCCCCCCCCCCACTGCTCTGAATTCCCTGCCATGATTGGTTATATTCTTGAACTGTGAGCCTTCTCCCTTTAAGTTGCATTGGTCAGAGTATTTTTTATCACAGCCACAGGAAACAAAACCGAGACTATGCGGCTTCTCTAGTGTAAATATGTACACACGCACAGTTCCGGATACACACGAAACCCAAGGCACTGACATTTTACATGACCTTGAGGGCGTGGACACTCAGCAGTGGCTCAGAGAGGACCTTGGAAAACCTGTACCTACCAGTTAGATAAATAGCTCTCTATTTGCTCTTTTCACTGCTCGGTTCAGACTTCTTTGAAATTCACCAGTCTTCATCCCAGGTTGTGCCCCAAAGCTTCACACCATGCTAAGAAACTCCTGGTGTAGGGCTGTTAGCTAAAAATGATAGGAGACCATTGTTTAGATCTAAACTACACTTTTTATTTATAAAACCACCTTCCTGGGGCTGGAGAGATTGCTCAGCTGCTAAAATGCTCCCCTTGAAATTGTGAAGACCCAAGTTTAATTCCCAGAACCCACATAGAGAGCTGGGCTATTGACCCCCAACCAGTATAGAAGCATCAAGTGCTTCTTTTTATGGATGTTTCTGTTCCCAAACTTTGCCAGCTTTGTGTTTACTAGCCCCTTGATCCAAAACAAGGAATGCCTTTCTTTCCTAAATTTTCAATATAAAAATACTTCTGTCTACCCTTGTTGCTGGTACTTGTGGAAAACACCCCAGATCGCCTATTGCTATAACATGGCTTTCCTACAGGAAGTCCCTCCTTCTCAGTCCCGGTCCATTGGCCAGGTATTGACCTGCCCATCTGTAATAGAAACTCTGTTTTCTTGACCAGCAGTTTTCCTTGAATGGGTCTTTATTGCTACAGTAACAGAACCATTCCTACCATCCATGTCATCTTCCCAAGGTGGAATCTGAGAGACTAGGAGTTAGATTGACTCCTTGGTAGACAGACAGCTAGGGAGGGGGCCATGACTAGGTAACAAAGGTAGCAAATTCCCAAGATGTCCGACTTCTTCCTTCCTCTTCTAACTTGAGACGTTGGCTTTTGTCTCCCACCATCAGAGCCTTGCTGGTGGACTGGCACTACAAGTTCCAGGTGGAATTAAGGTATGTTGCACAGCAGTTCTGGGCCCCATCAACCATTCTGTCTTTCTTCAAACGGACCAACCCTAAATACGGGGAGGAAAACTCTCAGAAACATTAAAATCCCCAAGCCCTGGAGAAGAGACAGGGTCGTCCACTTTCCAGGTCCCCCCTCTACTTTGCAGAGGGATCTTTTTCTCTGTATGCCGGCTGTGTGTGTGTGTGTGTGTGTGTGTGTGTGTGTGTGTGTGTGTGTGTGTTTCCTCACCCCCAACAAACAACCCCTCTTCCACTGCTGATTCTCTGCTAGCGTTTGGGATTTCTCTGTTGCTCCCTGTTGGGCGTCAGAATTTTTCTGCCTTTTGATTCTTTAGCTGGCAGAGAAAACAAACCTGATTGAGACCCCTAGACTGTATCACGCCCGTTTGGAAAGTCCTCTGTTGTCCTTCCGCCAGCTGTTGGTAACTCCCAGTCTGTTTTCTAAATGGAGATATTTTGCAGTCATCTTTCTGATAGGAGGTGTTTTTAATGAGAAAGGAAACGGATGCTGTTCCTATCACTGGCATCAAGTGGTGCCTTTCTGTTTCAAGTTTCTTAGAATATCCTGCCTGGGCCCGGGTTCCTACTGCAACCCACGGAGTTCTGTTGCTTTAAGTCATTTGTCCAAGACTTGCTAACTGGCCTTAAACCTTGCTCAGTTTCTCTCTGCTGTCCAGTCTCAGGTTTCAATCCCAAGCCTCCCGCTGTTCTACCTCCTCTTGTCTGCCAGTGCCAGCTCAGTTTCCACCCCACATGGAATTTACTACTCACAACCCCACCCTCTTTCTTCCAGCCCCACTGATCCAGTACACACATTGTACGCTTGGTGCTTCTCTACCTTGGAAGATCGTGAATTAGGTAACGTTAAAGGTATTTGTGCTCTATCTTGCTACTCTGTGCTTAAGAAAAACAAATATTGTTTGTAATGTAATAGGTTAGGTAAGATCCTTTGTAAAAAACAAAAACAAACAAACAAACAAAAAACAAGACAGCCCCAACAGAATAAGGGTATAGTTGGTATTTCTCGATTCATGATATGTATGCTGCAAACGCATTGAGTTTGAAAGTTCAGCCAGGGGTTAGTGAAGGGTTAATCACAAGTGTAAGCAGATTGGGAGTTTGGAAACATAGGAATGTAGCAGAGATTATCTGTAAGTCAGTACAAAGATTTCATATCCTGCCCCTAATCCTGAAAATATTGGAGACCTCCCAGGGGCCTCTGGACTTGGCGACTCTGTCTTCACCTAAGGTGGTTTTGACTTTCACTCCAGTGTGTCTGCAGCACTCTCGAAGGCCAGAGCTTGCTATTTGATAGGACTATTTGCATTTCAAAGCTAATCAGTATTGAATAATGGGCTGGTAAAAGAAGAGTAAGAGGGTTATTGTGTGGGTTTTATTATTGTGTAAACTTGGGAATACAAGCTGAGCGGGCTCTGGGAGCTGCACTCAAATTCCAGCAGATAAGAAAGTGGCTTATGTAAAAGGCCTTTTAATGAGTGAGTTACTCATTACTTCCCCCGCAGTGAGAGCCTGGCACGGATCACATGACTGCTGGGCTTCATAAGGAAGTAAAAACAAAAAGTGAAGAGAAAACTATTACTCATACTCCACTCTTAAGTAAAAGCACTCCTTAAATCTGTAGCTTTTACTCTCTTGTGACTTTTGAGTTAATAAATGATTATGTTTCATTTTTCCAGCTCGGACTGAACAATTATAACTCTAGTTCAATTGCACTTCACAAGTTCAATTCAGCAAGGAAAAAAGGGAAAATATTGACGCTGGCTCTCACCCTAGAGTTGATTCCATTAGTTTGGGGTGTGTCCTCATAAACAATATTTTCTGTTAGTTCCCACTTGGTGTGCTCAGGTTGCTTGGGACCTCTAGATGGCTCAGTGGTAAAGACACTTGCCTACAAGCCTGAGGATTAGAGATCCTGGGACTCAAACGGACTCACCCGTGGAGAGAACTGACTCCAGCAAGTTGTCCTCTGACTTACACACACACCCCATGCTGTGACCAACACGCACACACGATATTTTTCCTCACAAAAAGACCTCTAAAAAGACCTGATCAATGTTCCTATTGTCTGCAGTAAGGTCTCACTGTGAGGGGCAGGCTTGATTAGAACTTTCTATATCGTCCAAGCCGACTCCTGTATTTCCCTCTCAAGTGCATTCATCACCACTCCTGACTGTTGTAGAATATTATTTTAAGAGGTGTTACATTTGTTTATGCTGTATAACATTTCTTTAATGATGCAAAGATGTGTTGCATTCTTTTATGTTGCATTTGTTTAACTCTGTGAAGCTGTGTTACTGTGCCTGTCTAAAACACCTGATGGTCTAATAAAGAGCTGAACGGCCAATAGCAAAGCAGGAGAAAAGATGGGCGGGGCTGACAGGCAGAGAGGATAAATACAGGAGAAATCTGGGAAGCAAGAAGAAGAAGGAGGGTGCAAGGGGCCAGCCACCCAGCTACACAGCCAGCAGTGGAGTAAGAAAGAAAGATATACAGAACTAAGAAAAAGGTAAAAGCCCAAAGGCAAAAGGTAGATGGGATAAATTTAAAGTTAAGAAAAGCTGGCAAGAAATAAGCCAAGCTAAGGCTGGGCATTTATAAGAAATAATAAGTCTCTGTACAATTATTTGGGAGCTGGATGGCAGGCCCCCAAAAGAGAAAAACAAAACAAAAAACAGACAGTATTTTGGCATTCCAACGTGCGACTAGAGTAAAAGAAAATCCACCTGGCATGTCCTAAAGTTTAACTGAACACAGCTGTTGGTTAAAAAAGAAAATAGATCATATATAAAAATCTGTCTGTCTACTTAATGTAGATGTCAGTATAATCTATATGCAGAAAATGCACCACTATTAAAATATGAATAGTAAAAAAATATTTTCTACATATCTAAGCATGCTTTTGGCATATCTTGGAAACCACTGTTCCACAGAGAATATCAGTTCCTTGGCATGGAATGCAAGTTTCTGTTCTGGCACAATCTCTCTCTCTTGCTGTTATATTTCCCTGCTGGTTTTATATTGTCAACATTGCTTTGTGTGTGTTTGTGTGCATGCTTGACAATGCATGTGTGTGAGTAGGCCAGAGGACAACCCTGGGTGTTGTTCATTGCCTGATCTATTTTGGGAATTAAGATCTCTCTCTGGACTGGAACTTGTCAAGTAGCCCGGACTGGCCAGCCAGTGATCAGGGGATCTGTCTTTTCCCACCTTTCCAACACCAGGATTACAAGATTGTGCTACTATACACATTTTTTTTTTTTAAAAATAGAATCTGTACATTAGTAGAATTGAAGTCTTCATGCTTATAAGAACATTATTGACTGAGTTGACTTGCTTCAGCCCTGCTGCTGTTTGCTCAACATGTATGTCTCTATTAGCCAGTTTGCTGTTACTAAAGTGAAATACTTGACGCGTGGTATATATGAAGTAAAGAGAAGTTTCGTTAGCTCACAGTTACAGAAGTTCAAGTTCAACATGGGTGATCCTGTCCCTGGATAGGTGAATACACTGTGTGACAATGGTTGGGCACCAGATAGAAGGAACAGTCACGTCTCAAGCCATGGGTAGAAAGAGAGATTGTGTCCTACAATCTCTGGGGCACTTAACAGGAACTAGAGCTGGTTAAGCTTTTAGGCTTTTGAGCAGCAGTTCAGCTGAAATCCATTTGGATGAAGACTCAGAAGCTTCCAGTCTGAGGCAACAGGATCAGCTGAGGAATTGGTGAGGCGAAGAAGTTGTGGCTTGTTCTGCTTCTCTGATCTTCCAGCATTCACCCTAATACCTGGCTCAGGTTTGATTTTATTAATAAGATCTTTTAAGATTCGTGCTACACCTATTAGCATCACCATGGGGACTGATACCTTAACATACAGGCCTTTGGGGGAAAAACTCCCCACATCTAAACCATAACAAAGCACCACCCCTCTATGTTGCTATTACCTCTTTGTTTTTGTTGTTTAATCGGTGCTGTATTCCCAACTGTCTTGAGTCCATATTCTGAGATGGGGATTGGGTAAGACAGCTTCTGCGTAACCCCTACTTTGGGCTTACACTGTATCTTCCCCTCCATCCATTAAGGAGTCATCAAATGGGGGCAAGTCTTGGGTAAGGCAAATCCTGGAGCACCATCACCTCCAGTGGCCAACGATTGTGGGAATAAATGCTTGAATGTCAAGTGGGACCTGGGACGCTCACCACTGCTTGTGGCGATTAACCAGCTCACTCAAAGGTGTCATTGTTCATCATACTAGTTTTTACTTTCTTTTTTCCAAGCTTCTACATTTCGCTTACATAATTTAAGTATAAAAATAAGAATAGTTAGGACAGTGTAGTCATTTTTCTACGTTTTACCCAATTTAAAATTCAATTCTTTATTTTGAAGTGATTTGTTCCAAATTAAATTAAAAATTCTTTTTTTTCTCCAGCATTGGGAAAATATAATATCAGATTAATAGATTGTTTTCTTAGCAACTATATTGAGGTGTGATTCCTGCAGAAACAGATTTTAAATAAACTTGCTGCTTCTTAGCACTCAGTCTCATTATGCTGAAAAGTTACTATGCACTTCATTTTGGGGCACGAATACACAAATACCACCCTACCTAGCTGGCCTGGAACTTGGTGTGTAGACTTAGCTGGCCTTGACCTCATAAAAATCTGTCCACTTCTGCCTCCTGAGTGCTGAGATGAAAGGTTTATACCACTATGCCCAGTCTGTGAGGGTTTTTTTTGTTGTTGTTGTTGTTGTTTTTTTTTTTTTGGTAAGAATTAATTGCATGATCAAAAAATACATACAGGCCATCTTGCGTCCCTGCGTGTGTGCACCTTATCTCAGCTGGTCTGGCTGAGACCCCCTGAGTGCGAACCCTAGTCCCCCGCTTGGCCCCATTTCCACTCTGACAAGAAGAAACAACCATGAACCAGGAGAAACTGGCCAAACTGCAGCCACAAGTGCGCATTGGTGGGAAAGGAACTGCTCGCAGAAGGAAGAAGGTTCACAGAACAGCCACAGCAGATGATAAAAAACTGCAGTTCTCCTTAAAGAAGTTAGGAGTGAACAATATCTCTGGTATTGAAGAGGTGAATATGTTTACAAACCAAGGAACCGTGGTCCATTTTAACAACCCTAAAGTTCAGGCATCTCTGTCAGCAAACACCTTCACCTTTACAGGCCATGCTGAGACAAAGCAGCTGACAGAAATGCTTCCCAGCACCCTAAACCAGCTCAGAGCGGACAGTCTGACTAGTTTAAGGAGACTGGCTGAAGCTCTGCCCAAACAATCTGTGGATGGAAAAGCACCACTTGCTACTGGAGAGGATGATGATGATGAAGTCCCAGATCTGGTGGAGAATTTTGATGAGGCTTCTAAGAACAAGGCACACTAAAATGAGGTGACTTCTGAAGACGGTGACACCTGCAGAAGTTACAGGAGCTGCTATTTTATATCATGACTGCTTTTTAAAATTCTTTTGTTTATGGATCTGATAAAATCTAGATTGCTAATATTTTTAACCTTGAGCCCCTTGGACACTGAAGCTTTTTCAGTTTTTGCTTAAACACAATTCATTCTTGGCAGCAAATTAAGCTGAAGAAGCCTGGGAATAAAGTTTGAGAAAGGGTTAATAAAATTCTTTGCCTAGTTAAAAAAAAAAGTACATACAACACCAATAATATAGGAAATAGTAAATGCTTCATTTTGCTTCACTAGATAAAGAAAGAAAGAAGGAAGGAAGGAAGGAAGGAAAGAGAAAGAAAGAAAGAAAGAAAGAAAGAAAGAAAGAAAGAAAGAAAAAGAAAAAAAGAAAGAAAGGTGAAATGAGATCCTTGCTCTGAAGGAACTGAAACGTATTTAACTGATAGAACACTAAATAATGAAAAAATTCAAATAACCACATTTTGTTTGTTTGCTTGTTTGATGTGTGTGTGCATGCATGTGTGCACACGTGCCTATACACTGGAACAGGTATGTAGTATGTGTGGAGCTCATCAGTCTTTTGTCCACAGATAACATGCCCTTCTTTTTGAGACAGGGTATTTCAGTGGCTTGAACCTTATCTAGTAGGTTAGGTTGGCCAGTTAGCCCCAGGCATCACCCCGTCTCTGCCTCCCCAGTGCTGGGATTACAAGCATGTGCTACCAACACCTGACTGAAAAAAATTATGTATGAGTATATAATATACATGTGTACATGATTTAAATAAATGCTGAGTGTATACATTTCACAGCTAAAGAAGAAATGGGAAGGACCCCAGCTGGTGGCCAAGCTTGAGAGAAGAACCAGATGATGGAACAGAAGACAGGTGGAAGGTCAGAGAGGCTGATGTGAGGAAGTGAAACTCTTACAGGAACAGGGGTCAAGAAGGCAAGCAGGAGATGACAGCAGATGTCAGGTTCAAGGGAGAGCTGTTCAAACCTCAGAGAGGACAAGTCAGGTTGCATCATGCAGAAAACGGAGCATGCAGGAGCCCTTAAGGAAACGTGACTCTGAGTCTGTCACCTCCCAAGACTCAAGTTTGAATTCCTCAACCAGTCCTCCTCTTGAAAAAATGACCAACTCCTTCTCCCTTAGTCTCCCTGTTTTCTTACTCCTCCAACATGCACAAATGGCTGCTAATTCCCAAGTTAGAACGGATCTTCCCATGTTCTCAAGGTACTCCGTTTAACCCGTGGTCGTAACATCAGTTAATTTGTCTCTTGATTATATTCTTTGGGTTCTTTGTTATTCTCAGGTTGTATGCCTATAGAGAGTGGACAGAGCTTTGCCTCCACCCGCTGTCCGGACTCAGGGATAGAGTAGTATCCGTGAGGGTTACTTAAAGCAGTTATTTCTCAGGGTGAGATATTGAGGGTTCTGAATGCTGTTCCCTCCCACAAACTGACAATACACATTATAATAGGTATAACATAAAACGCTGCTTAATAGCTAGTAGAAGGCAGGTTTATAAACATTTCTCTGCTTGAAGAATCCGTCTTACTTGAACTGCAGCAGATTTTTGATCCAACAGGTGGAAGTAATTCTGTCATATCCTAGAAATGTTTGTCAAGGTGCAAGTTTACGGCAAGTGACTTACTAGGAAAAAAAGGAAAGTATATCTTTTTAGAAATGATAATATGTAGACATCTTGGGAAGAAACTTTTCTAGCTCTCCTGCTTTAGGTATATTAAAGAAAAAATTTCTGTTATCATTGCTTGATTTAAAACAGAAGGAATGATCATAATGCTCAAACTTGACTGTTTCATATTGCAAAGCAAATACTGTCTGCTTCAGTTGAGTCATGTGCAGAGCTGGACTTTGGCACTTTGGTTGATAAATGCTATCAACGTTTACAAGACCGAAACTTTCCACGAGGCACTTTTTTTTTTTTTATTGCTTAGGTCATAGTTGGTTTTGAATCTCTACCTGTTCTGTGCTTACACCAGCTTTACATGGGGGGTGAGGGGTGAGGAAGTCTCTGGACGCCGAGAATACTACTCAGTGAAGGCCAAGAAAAATATAAGCCTGGGCTGTTCATCAATGAATGAATAATAGGTATGAATGAGTAACAAATGCACCATAGTCTTCTTTTGAGAACTATTTTTTAATCACTCCTGGAAGGCCAGGACTAGAGGACTACGTCATACATGACTTTCTAGCTCCTTTGGTAAATAAACAACTTCGGGGATTCCCTGTACCTCTTCCCTTAGCAAATAAGTCCAGGTAGTATTGTACTGAGAATGATGTTCTTACCAGCTGGGGAGCATGATGGCCTTGTTTACTACAGAAGATATTCATTCAGCTGGGGAGTGCTGCTCAGTGGTAGAGGGCTCACCTACTGTGTGTAAAGCCCTAGATTCGGCACCCTCCCACACACATAAATAAATGGTAAACATAAATAAATTCATTTGAAACAATGGGACTTCTTCAATTGAAGAAAAGAATGAGAGAATGAAAGGGCCAAGGCAGAAAAGTTTGACAAAAGGTGGTTTTGAAATTGGGAGCTTCTTGTGATATTAGTCTGAAAATTGTGACCTAGGAAGAAGCATGATCATACAATACGAGCCAACCCAGTGACTTAAGATGTGCTCTCCCAGACAAACCAGTCAAGGGTGGACAATTCCATAACAGATAGAATGGCTAGCTTGCTGTGCTTCGGGGCAGGGTACCTGTGGCAGATTGAAGAAGAATATCAAGTTAGAATATTCTTTTCTTGTTTGCTTTTTTGAGACAGGGTTTCTTTGTGTATCTTTGCTGTCCTGGAACTCACTCTGTAGACCAGGCTGGCCTAAAACTCACAAAGATCTGCCTGCCTCTGCCTCCCAAGTGCTGGGATTAAAAGCGTACGCCACCAAACCCAGTTTAGAATATTACTTCTGGTTGACAACAATTAATATATTTCAAAATGTGGAATAGGTCAGAGCAGTTCTTAACCTGTAGGTTGCAACCATCAGAAAACACATATTTCCGATGGTCTTAGGAACCCCCCAACCATAAATTTATTTTCGTTGCTGCTTTATAACTATAATTTTGCTACTGAGCTGTGTCTCAGTTCCTAAAACCTTTGGAGATATGTGTTTTCTGAGGGTTGTGACCCACAGGTTGAAGACCTCTGGAATAGGGGAACTCAGAATGTTTTTAACACAAAGAAATAATAGAGGGATAGATATACAAATTTACCCTGCTTTGAACATTATACATTGTATGTATTGAAATGTTGCATGGTACTTCACAAACTTGCACAATTCGTCTGTGTTGATTAAAAGTTTTTTTTTTTTTTAAGGAAAGAAAGTCATTTCTGAATATTGGTGCCCTCCTCTGTCACATGCTATTCTCCGCTTTCCTAATTCCAAGCACAGGAGCTGTCCTGCGGTTTGTGTAAGAAGTGTTAGTACATCATATTAGCTGTTTTAATACATATGAGAGCTGTTTTGTAAGGGTTTGCTTGCCAGCAGCTGGGGCTGAGGAGGTCCACGGCTTCCAGCCAGATTCCGGAGTGATGTAGGAATGAGGACTAGACAGCAGCGTGCTCAGGCTTTCAGACTGGAACAGACAGGATGAAGATGTAAGCCCCGTCCTGGTTTGAGTAGTAATTTAGCATAGGTATTGATTTAGGAAGATCTAAAAGGTATACAATTAATGCCAAGGCAAATGAGGGGTCTCTCGAAGTGAGCGGATGATGACAGATTATGGACTGCACTTACTTCCTTATCATTACATATTTTTAATACCTAGCTGCTAAGATGGTAGCTAAAAAGAAAATGTCCTGGTGTAATTTTTACAACAGTAAATCTCTTCCCATGGCTGAGTTTCTAACCATAGGAAACTTGTATTTCTAAGCAAAAGAATTTCATGTGAAGCTGCAAAGCAGGGTGAGGTTAATTCTTCAGTTTATGGGTCAGAGAGTACTGGAGCTGGAGAACTGTTTATTTCTTTGCCGATTCGTGGTATTTATTTATATATTTGGCACCTGGTCCCATGGATTCAGACAGGTGATTTCTTCAGGATAATACAGATGTAAAATCCCCCTGACCTTCCAGCTCCCATTTAGAACTCAAAACTAAGAAAGATCCCTCCAATCTCTGTATAGGAATTGATGTCATGAGATTCTGGCAATGAGCCAGTCTATGAATCAGAGACACTTAGGCCCTCACCATTTTTTAATTTAAGACACAATTACAATAAACTTGGTTATCCGGGTTTATCTAGCCCCTAGGAGGCCAGAGGAGCCCAGAGCTATATACACATTTACTTGGCATTAACAGTTCCACAAGAGATTTTCATGTACATTATTCATTGCTTAGATCAGTGATTGCATGAAGAAGTGACCACCAGTTACCTGACAGTCCCAAGAAGACAGAAAAATTGTAAATCGTGGGCACATAAACCACAAGAGCACTCTGGAAGATAGCCACGGTGAGAGGGACCGAGAAGCATAGGTCTCAGTTCCTACAGTGAATCACTTTTATTTTTGCATGGACTTACCATCATGACGACAGACAGTTACATGTGTGCGTGTGTATTTCTCTGTGAAGAGGTTTCAACTGGATCTAAACTAGAACCAGAGCCCTGAGACCTGTGTTTGCGAGGTCCATGCTTCAGTAATATAATGAGGCTGGCAGGATGGGTCAGTAGGTTAAATACTCGCTGCTAAGCCTGGTGCGTGAGTTTAACCCCCAGGGCACACGTGGTGGAGGGGGAAAGCTCCCTGAAGTTGTCATCTGACTCCCCACCCCATGTCATGGCAGCCCCCCTCAAACATCACACGTAATATAAAGAAATGTTAAAATGTTTTTACAAATATGATAAAATGCAGTGAATATTTCTTTAAAAAACCTTAACTAATTTGTGTGTGTGTGTTGGGGGGGTGCTTATGTGTCTGCAGGTGCATATATGTGCGTATGCACACACATGTTGTGTGGAGGTCAGAGGACCCACTCAGGTGTCATTCTCATGGACATCATCTATCTACTTCTAGACAGGGTCTCTTATTGGCCTGGAACTCACCATTAGGCTAGAGACTGGCCACTGAGCTCCAGAGATCCTCCTGTCTCATTTGCCTAGTTCTAGAATTACAGGTGTTTGCCACCACATCTGGCACTTTTATGTAGGTTCTAGAATCAAACTTGGTCCTTATGCATATGCATAGAAAACACGTGATAGACTGAGCTACGTTCCTACCCCTGACTTCTGCCAACTTCTGATTTCCAACTGTGAAAATTTGCATGAAAACTGTTCATACGTCAT